TTCTGTTTGATCATTTCGTTAATTTTGTTTCTCTCACCTCTTAATCTCTCTTGTAATGCAGAACCAGCGGCTCGAGCTTTCCTTTGTAGCGCGCCTTTTGAGCGCATTCAATAAATAAATAAATAAAATCTCGCCTGTTCTGTACAGATACATGAAGGACTTACCATGCAATCCTCTGTAACACTAATAGAGCGTTTGGTTGAGAAATCTTTTGAAAAAGTCTTTTTGCCTGCAAATCTTTGTGCGGGATATACTGTTGCAGGCAGGCATGATTGGAATCTCTTGGAGGTTGAGGTAGAGGGAATGGAGCATTCCCACATAGATAGGTCCTTCTTTTAGAGGGAGTGCAGGAACAGACGTTCAGGGCTGGAGTATCTGAAAAGGCCATATGGGATTTTAAAGGCAGAATGGAGCCCTTCTACCTAGGCATTGCTAGTGTAGCCAACATCCCCGGAGAGATTGGTTTTGCGAAACACGCTCGTTCTGGAAGAGGGAGAACAGGAACAGACTTTAGAGATGGAGTGCTTAAAAAAGGTCATATGAAGTTCTAGGGCAGATTTGAATCCGTCTACTATTCTAGGCTTTCCTAGTGTAGTCAACATGGATAGCTTGTTTTTCACGAAACGCGCTTGCTCTGGAAAAGACTCATAGCTTTGGTCGCCCAAGAAATTGAATTGCACCGGTTACTGATCTGCTAGCCAAGGATCAGTGCCAAACAGTAACAGTGTCTCCCTCCAGTCCTCTCTTTCTTCCCACCCTTCTGTATTCGACATTCGTCTCTACCCCTCTCGCGCAACAATTTCAAGGGAGCAAGCGACTAGTATGGGATACAGTGGATGGGAGCTTCTGTTTATTAGGTGCAGCTCAAACTCCTTCGATTGGAACGGTTGGGTCATGCTTGAACGAGCCGAAGTGTGCGCTCCCATCGGATCCTTTGCGGAAGCCGATGAACCAGTTTTCATGGAACGAGATGAATGGGCTGTGCTGAAGAAGACGATAAGAAAAGACCTGGGAACCTTGGAGAAGGCGATGCAGTGCGAAGAAGTACCGCTACCACCCACATGGTCTACTGAACAAAACCGAGTTCAGTACTCGCTGTGTGCATCACTACTAGTGAACGACCAAGAGAAATGCGTTCATCCACCAATTTGCGTCATGAAATTCCAACGGCGATTCCTTTTTGGGGCAGTGCACACCACGAGTAAGCATATCAGTCCGCACAGAGCATAAGAAGTGAGCAGAACAGTAATGAATTCAAAGTCAGATCCCCCTTTTCTGACTACTAATGCGATTTTTGTGTGAATATCACGAAGATACAGGATCCTGGACCGTTACTTTCCTGAACCAACCCAAACTTCCATTCTCAGAGCTCGCTCGGTCAGAAACAGAATTCACGTGTGAAGATGTGCGCACTGAATAGGTTAAACCCGAATCACACCGATCACGGCACCTTTCGAAGATGGGGATAACTGTCCCAGGCAGAGACGGGATTTCAAATTTTTGCAGGGCTGTTATAGGACAGTGATAACTTTCAAACTTGAAGTTTATTAAGTTTGCAAAAATGACACCGACTCAAAATACTGGCATTAGGTGGAGTGGTTGACAACGTTCACTTCAGTTTTTCTTCGAAAGGCGCTACAAAAGTCAGGCTCACTCGGTAGCTTCCCGACATTGATTCAGGCTGGTCCTCGTTACGGTGCTTCTGCTTTGTAGCGACGTAGCATGGACCCGACATAATTTTTTCCTCGAACACGACCATGAAACTCGGGAATTCTTAAAATTAACGTTCAATAACTCATACGTGCTTCACGATAGGTGGAAGAACGGTAACTTGAGAATTCTAACTAAAATTCGTCTTGTGAACTAGCACACTAAAAGCCTTCTTTTATTCATATATCCAATAGAATATTTACAAATTCATAAATGTGATCGTAATTCTTGTCGATAGTCCGGGAGAGGTTTTGTGTCACCAAGAAAGCGTTTGAAGAATGATACGGTGTTCGCCCAAACACGGGGCTGACTGGCTCCATGTTGGGAAGGTTCACCACCATATGCTTGCATGGTCCCTAAATTTTTAAACCATGATCATTGCATCGAAAATTCGAAGACGCTGCCTTCCTGGTGGCGCCCTGCATAGAAAAAAAGAAAAAAATGTGAAAAAGGTTTTGTCATCTTTCGTAGGACACGTCATGTAACCTTGGGGGCTGGTTTTTTCAAGTAATTCTAATATTTGCATATAAATACAGGAAGCACTCTACAAAATTTGCTAATAACCCTACAGAGGAAGCATCGCAAAGCTGCTTTCATCGCTTCCGCCAGCAAGTCGTACATTAATTCTCAGACAATCGAGGAGATAAGGGGGAATGTCTAGGGAAGCAGCGTGGGCGCACGGTGAACCGTCCCGGACAGTCAATGAATCAGGAAAGAAGTGAGTGCTGCGAGGCCGACATTAAGGTTCACTAAGCCTATAGAGGCGAAGGACATAAGTAGAAGCTGCAGTAGTGGGAATGTTCCTAGTGTACGGTCAGGGCGAACCTTCTAATTTCGTACTAATCCATGCTATCACCCACTCAATCAACCGGGTTAGGTGCCTATTGTCCATTAATTCAGTCCAGGAAGAATTAAAATATGAAACCAAACTGAGGAAAATCGAAAACTTTAGAAAAGGGAATAATCAGTGTTGCAATAATGAAGCAAAAGAGGTACAGATATGAAGTGTAAAGGAACGGGAGTACTAAATTTATTATCCATCGATGGGAAGGCCATGAAATCCTTTCGATGGGAGCTCTCACCACAGTATTCCTTTCAGTTCCGCTCCTTCTACTCATCCGTAGTAAGAAGAAGTCCATGATGGGTATCTTATTGAACCTTATAAGCCAACCGACATTGACAGCGGCTGCTTATAACTCTAAAGCGGCTTATGAAGGGCTGGTTGACGCCCATGGCTCTAACAGGTTTGCTATTGCGAAAGCACCAGGGTATTAGTGCTTGAACTCGAAAGCGTAGTAATTAGTAAGTAGTAATAGCACAAGAATATTGTCATCACAAGGATCTAATCTTGGAAATCTTAGAAACGACTATCTAACTGACCAGCGAATTTCGAGTAGACGACCGGAAGACCAGGATAGTAGGGTGGTTCCATCAAATGCCCACCCGGAGCAAAATCAACTTCGACATAGTGTCCGGACTCTTTCAACTTCTTTTCCGCCAAGCGACTGCAGAACACTGTCGGCGTTGAGAGGTCGTCCAATGAGCCCTGAAGTTTTTTTTTATTATTATTCGAATTTCGGATATGGGAATTACTTGGCCATTTCCTACTTTAAAATATTTTATCTCTAACAAATTATAGGCATAATCGTTTGGGCTTCCAGTTTATCGGGTTAAGTGATCGATGAAATTCGCCCAAGTCGTAGGCCCCTGCTTTTCAATGAAAGCAGCACGGCTCCAGTTTATAATCTTCTTAATTGTTTTTCAATTTTCGACTTTTCTACTAATCGGAAGGAGCAAATCGGTTCACTGATGGAACCTTCTTGCCGAATCACCACTTCTACAGATAAGATTCTAGCAAGATCAAGGTTTGGAAAATTTTCTAATAAAAGTCTCGCTCAAGATCGCTGATAATCATTGAGGCTTGACTACTGCCTCTCCTATCTGCACACCTTCAGAACTCCCAATATTTCGCCAGTTCCTAATCCTAAATCTTCAAAGGAGTACTGCTTCGAAGAAACTCAATGTGATAGTCTCCGGTAATATTTTCCAGCCTGATACCCTTTATCTATCAAAATACTTCACAATCACCCCTTATTTTGGAGTATCACAAATCGCTTACAACGAATCGGAATGCCGTTCTCTTTGGTGCTGTTTCTATTTTTATATCGGCTTCTTCAGACACATCCATATACTGGACAGCTTTACTGAAGCACATAGCGCCATTGATATATTGTAACATGTTCACTGCCGTGCTGAAATAATAGAAAAGTAGTTTGGGAAGCTGAAAGTCAATCTCTTTTCTAATCGTGCGAACTGCAAGCTCATCTTTAGAAGTGGAATGCGAGCGTGAAATTTTCAACTCCTACATGCTGTCGCCTTTTATCGAAGCCTATTTTTGATAGGTGATAAGGACTGAACTCAGGTGATGTGTGATGACAGCATGTATCATGAAGTTTGTATTCACACGTCACGTTGAATGATGAGCTTCCCGATCATACTACTGGTAATAAAAATAGGTAGAGAACGGCTTTAACTAGTAATTTTACAGCTATGAGTTCACTGTGATGTGAGATAAGGGCTGGGATAGAAAGGTCTGGGAAGTACAGAAGGAAGCTAGCTCGGCACTGCCCGGATTATCGATGTGGTTTCACAATATTCCGAATCGAAAAATCAACTCACCCCACATGAGGCAGGAATTTTCCATGCTCCTTAATTTTAGCCACATCGCTAAGGCAATGACTTCCATTTATTGAGCACACAGCTATAATCTGAAATACAACAGGATGCAAAATGAAGTACTCTCGGAATCTGGGTGGACGTAAGGGCATCGTCCCTGCAGATGCCTGCTGGGTTGATGCTAGGTCCATGATGGGAGACGGGCGCTAGTAACGACTTTGGGTAATCGATTCGCCGCACGCGGGTGTCGCGGACCACTCATTCGCCGTTAATACAGCTCTAGCGTTCTTCATACAGCTCAGTCGACATACGATCATTATTTTATACATAATTCTACTATTAGTACTTTTGTTCNNNNGCGCGCGACGCCCCTCTCACCGCGACGCGACCATTTTGTTCCTAACGCACCACAACCGTCCCTGATTGGTGATCGCAGTGGTTGACTTATCGCAACACTTCGCAAACTACTCATGCAACCCAATCAAAGTGCTACATATAGCACTCGGAGCCCCCATACTTTTTTATATTTTCAGGTTAATAGCCCCATAGAACGTGAAAATTAAAAGGATATTGAAATTTGAGTTCTGATAAGTTTAAGAATATGGGGATTCGTACATTTTTTATCATTTTTTATGATTGATTCTTCGTAAGTTCACTTCTTATCTGGTGTGGTGAATTCAGTCATAAAGAAGGCCCCTTTCAGGGAAACGAATACATACCTCTGGATGCCTCACAGCAAGCATGTTGACCAGCAGACCTCCAAAAGATACACCTTGTATTCCAATTTCGTTTCGTGTGAACGGTTGAGAGATTAACCAGTCAATCGCCTTCTGAAATAAACGCATTAGCGATTGAAAAATTGGCCTGTCATATCAATCAATGTGCAATATCAATTCTGCCCAGCCCTCTAGAAGTTCCCAAAAATTCCCATTTTTGAAAGTATGTCAACAGAAAGTTTTCAAGTAGTAGTTGGATTTTCATGAAAAAAAGTAGTTTCAGAAGACTGAATCCAATGTTCAACTGCCTAAAAGATCGAGATTTGTAGGCTAACATACAATCTTATAAAGTGTTTAATATAACAAAACTTTGCCGTTGTTTTTAAAACTGAAAGATGCAAAGAACTCTAACAATGCTGAGGCTAGGAGGCCTAATAAAATACCAATGCCATGAAGAGGGTTTGGAAACCTTCAAAAAGCCCATACGCCACAAACTAAAATCCTTAAAAGGCAGACTGCTGGAAGTACTTTGCATCCAGCCATTACTGGAAGTAAGACCTCTGAGACCTTTGGGAACCTTGTCAGCACCATCCGAAGCTTCTTCACATATCCACATGCTACATTTAGAAATGCAGTTTATCAAGCAGTGACTGGGATAGGGAGTAACCTTCAGGCTCAGGATATCTGCGTATGTACGCCATGCTGCTCTCAGGGCTTTCCCTTCTATCTATAGGATCATTTTCTTATAACCCTTATGAATGTCGGCCATAACATCTGGCCATTAAGTGAATGATCATGGATAAAAGTTGTTCGAGTAGGAATATCGACTGATTATCGATTGATAGTGGGCTGACAAAAAAGTTTTGATAGAGAGAACATAACCAAATATGCTCCTACATGACATCTAGAGTATGTAAAGTATTAATCACATTAATAAAATCAGTCCACGATGTTGGTGCATAATACAAGGGCACGAATCTGTAGCGAAAGAATCGGTCCAAGAGTTTCACATTTAGTAGATATAATTGGAACATCGGAAGATTTGATAAGTCAACACTCTGATTCAGAACTCGCCTTAAAATAGTCCATATCGAGCTCGTTCATATCCTCAATTAGGGACTTATATTGGAAGAACGCCAATGACAAAACACAGAACCCTTCTGAAGATAAAGTTGCTCCTTTGTGTTCATTAATTCCACCACCAGTTCCTGACATGTCGAGGATTGTGGGGAATGGGCCTTCACCTGAACTTCACTTAGTTTCAATTTAGGAGAGCCAAAAGAGCCACACTTCGTCGAAATACCTTCAAATCCTACCTGGTGGTAAGAAGAGCGTCCCACAGATTCCATCCTCTTCAATTTCTCTTCGAACTACTGCTGGATGCATCCAGCGCTTGAGCAAAGGCAATGAATGGACGAGTTTGCCAACATCATCATACAGCCTAGCTAATCAACATTTAAGGCAATATTCTGTCAGATTACAAAACAATTTACGGCACGAACTCGAGCACAAAGTGGAAAGGATCCGGTGGAGTGCACTTGCAGTAGCTTCCAAAGCGATAATCATCGCTTGGTGTAAGGCTCTCGAATAGACCCATGGGACGAACACCTGAATCGTGAAAGGACAGATCGCTGAAAATTTTGGCGGCAGCAATTTGTATAACGATTCAAGATTCTACCTGAATACGTTCCTCTGAGAGGTGCAGTTTTTGCTAAATCTATTACTCCTCGACTATCAGCTTTGAAATGGCCGCGACCGTACAGCGTACCGATAGAATGGTTTAGCCTGAAAAACTCTTGATTCTTACAACTTTCGATTGTATGTGTTATGCTCCGCAATTCGGAAATTGCCAGGAAATCCTCCTCGGAAGTGGAATGTTCAAATTCTTGGAGGGACCCAAATCTTGCTGAACTTGACTGACTCTAACATGTGGTTATTCTATAATACAGCTATAGTTGGTATGGTTAGATTCACAGGGCTGGCGGTACTTCTCCCCGAATTCTCACGGCAAGCTGCAGTGGTTCCGCGGCAACTACCTACCCTTCCACTGGGAATGCGAACCTTTCGCCTCACAACGCGCAACTGCGCGCGATTGGGTGCGGCGAGCGCGACGCGATTATTGGGGAGAAGCACCTATACCCGGACCACAGAGAAAAACTTTACGATGGCCCCACAATTTCTCTATAGTGTGTCCACAACTCATTTTTGCCTCTCTGAACCAAGCGCTTACACCAGAAACAGTGAAGCCTCTTTGCGAAAGTTCATTGACTTTATGGTTCGCTGAAGATATGTAACGACCCTGCTTGTTATGATCGTTTCTCCGGCAAATTTCTCTGGCAATCAATCAATGGAACTATTCATCTTCCGTGGTTTTCAGTTCCCATATTGCCGCCGCAGTTTTACCTACAACCCTTCGCATCTTGACCCGCCCATAGGTGACTTCTGAGTTAGATTCGTTTTTTCCGTCTACTCCCTCATGAGGGGGTTCACGACAGTCCGCTACTATAGGGCTGAGATAAAGACGATCTTCTAGCTCTGAATTCTTCTACTTTAACAATTCGAATTCCGTTCACGAGTGTGAGCTAGGATGAAGAATTGGAATTATTTCATTGGCTACGTTATAGTCATGTTGAAGTTTGATCAGAGAAGCAAACAAGGGACAGTAAGTCCAAAAAAAAANAAAAAAAAATGAGAAAAAAGTGCGGTTGGTAAAGACTGCTAAAAATGACTTGTGAAGGAAAAGAACTGAACTAAAACGGGATCTAACATGAGATACTACTCGATCGCAACAAACGGAAGTATACATGGCAATCCAGATTTAAGAGGTTCTTAGAAATGTATAAGTAGTAAGGCGATGAAACGAAGAAAAACCACTGCTCGACGAAGGGGGAAGTATAGAGCAAAACTGCTGGAAAAACAGGAATAAGTCTGTCAGCTAGGTACCTTATTTGAGTAGGGCGACTAAATTTGTTCGAAATCCTACTACAAGTGTCCTTGTAGACGTCAACATAGTGAACCGATCATCTACATAAAAGTAATTCCCTGTGTCTCCATCTGGACAAGACCTCATAGTGCTGGTCCGTTCAAAATGAACCTCGTCGGACGTTCGATGAAAAATTTCGACGTGAAATCAATAAAATTCAAAAAACCGTTAAGGTACATAGATGTCGAAGAAGCTTGGTGAAGCATTTGGATTCAACATGTTTGTCAAAAATATGAAAAGTAAGAGCCACGATTCTGTGAGGTGAGACGGAAAGGTTGGGATAAGAGGGCCGGAATGCACACAGCTACAGGAATTTTATAAACCAGTCATAAGATGCATAATCAAGCAGGAAGGTAGAATGAAAAATCATCACAGTGTTAAGAAGTAGTTGCTATTACGAAGAACAACAATAGAAAACCACTTGGGAAGTCGCAAAAAAGCTCAAATTCCATTTTCCAAACGAGCTACAGGTCTGATTCCTAACCAGAATTGAAAGTGGCACTTAGCTCCAGTAATAAGAGCAAAGGCGTGTTGTTGGCTACAAGTTAAAGAATCTAGCGTACATGCTTGACATCAGTACTTCTCTTCTCTTTGGAAGAGCAGCAGCACGTAGAGAGACCTCTAGGAGGTGAGGGTAACTCTGGGTCCGATCCCAAGAATAAAACGGAACCCGTTGAGTCTTCAGCATTTTCACAACATAACGTAAAAACGGTAAATGGAGTAAAACATTACTTCAAAGTAGGAAATTGAGCAATATTTCGAAACATACTTGAGCAATATTTCGTAGGTCTTGTCAGGTACTAGCGCTGTTGCCGTCATGCATATCGGCTCGGTCATCATGCTGTCCGGTTTGTCGACATGAAGCATTGTTTAGATCGGAATAAATAGAATAAATAGTAATAGAAGGTAACGGTGGATCGTTTGGCTCCGAATGAATGAGATTCGTCGACTTTCCTTATCATCGATGACACATGAGCACCCTGGCAGCTGTACTCTAGAATTGATAAGGGTCTGAGCGAACTACAAAAAGCATGGAACGCACATAAATAATCGTAGTCACAAAGAAGAACCTATCCAAAAATGATGACCGGACACGCAGAAATACAATAAATCTCATCTAGGGGCAGAAAGAATTCAAATCAGTGAGTTACCAATTCCGAACAAACTCAAAAACTAAAGCCCTGCACCGAAGGATTCACCCACATTCACCTTCACAATGAAAAATTAGAATAAAGTTTATATCTCTAATTCGATACAACCCGATAGTGTACCGTTCCACTGTTCGAATCTCGTACGGCTTAAAGTGACCACCCACCCAGGTGGAAGGTGTATGAGGGTAAGACTGATGCTCTCTGAGATGACAATCATAGAATGTAGTTGAGAAGACCGAAAAGGAGCTACGAAAGAGGTAGAGACGTTCTAACAGCATACTCAGCCCCTTAAATGGCTTTTCGTTACATCAACTACGTCCTCATCACTTCGAGTGACATTGATCTACAACTGAATTCTACAATAAAAATTCTGTTGAGGTGTGTTCCCGTGAGCACTACCAGTGGCGAGATGGCCGAGCGGTCTAAGGCGCTGGTTTAAGGCACCAGTCTCTTCGGGGGCGTGGGTTCGAATCCCACTCTCGTCAGACATTTTCTTGTCCTTATCTGCGAGCTTATTCCTCAACGGATTTACTATAAAAATTTTGTTGAGGAGTGTTCCCTCGGAAAGAACCAATGGAGAGATGGCTGGGCGGTCCGAGCGCTGGTCTAAGGCACCAGTCCCTCCGGGGGCGCGGGTTCGAATCCCGCTCTCACTAGACAACTTCAACTAGACATTTTGTTGCCATCAGCTACATCCTCAACTAATAGGACTTCTTTCACCACAAACACTGTCAGTAATATCTTTTGAGAATTGATTTGCACTTAAATCACTGAATGTCCCTTTTTCTTACAACTAGGCTCACTATACAGTAACCAGTCCAGTCACCAAATGTATGAGGAATAAGTCACGTTTATTTTCCATGTGCCTGAAATCCCTCTGAATCCTTCTCTTTCATCCTTCTCCACATGAAAAACATGGGGGTTGCAGTAATGTGTTGTATTACGTACAAGAAGCCCAAGATGATACCGTAAAATAGTTACTGTTCATGAGAACAGTCTGTGCCTCGGGCATCTATCTTTTCGTTAAAGATAGTCAGAGAGTCGGAGGGCTTCTTGGGAAGAGTGATCCCGGACTAGCGCCACTGTCCCTTCTAGTTATTACCCAGGTCTAAATTCTGACAAAAACAGCAATAGCAGCTGGGCACTCCAAGCGGTACGCTGCGTACGTCGATAGAGCCAGTATTTATTTAGTCAATGTTACTCAGGTGAGAGACGATTCCGCTGAAATATTGAGCGATTACCAGAAAACCATGCGAATCTTCAGGGCTACAGTTTTACTGCAGGATCGCTTACTAAGAAGAATAGAGTTACCTTCAACCATACAAAAGATTGAGCTCAGAACTATTGAGGAGAGGAAACCGGCCTGTAGCCGTGGAAGGCATTTTCAAAAGTGGGGAAAGGCAGAGCACCATCCTTGCCATAACTGAGCGATACAAAGTTTGCTCGAGTATTTGAACTTATGAAAATATATGGAATGAAACAGCCAGCCCCTTAAAGGCTGGAAATGGAACGGGTCCAACAGAATATAACCCATGACGTCTACCCATGACACAGTTAGGGACCCATCACCCTGTAAGTGATACCGCCGTGACTACTTGTATAACCCAAAGAAACGTTAAGCGCTGGTAGACCTAGCCAGTCTGGGTGTGGGACGTTAGTCTCGACCGACATTACTTCGCGCCGAGGTGCGAAGTGACCTCATTAATGAATAGCCACATCTTAATTACGCGCCTCCCCTTGAACGCAACTAACCTTATCTTA